CTCCTTGTAGCTCTAATAACAGCTTTTTGGGTTTGGTGGGGTTTGTTCCTGTTCATATGTGATTATCTTCTCTGTTTCCTTCTTACATTTGTGTTTTAAATAGGACTCTGAAAAACTTGTTTCAGATCATGTTTATAACTCTGTTTTTCTTTTATCCTGCAAGCTTCATGTATTGTTTAAGGTCAAACACCAAAAACAACATAGCGAGTCTGCTAGACTTGTCGCTCCATTTCCAAAGGTGGTGTTTGACCTCCAAGAGCCTCCTCTGTACCTGTATCAACAAGCTTTGTTATCAAAACAGTACCACCAACCTCCATCCCCCAAAAATGCTGACAGTCCAGGGTCGGGAGAGGATTCTGTCCTGGTACTTGCTGTTAATTCTGCAGGTCCCAAGGCATTTTGCATGGAAGTTTTCTGCCCCTCTTTTCTGCAGACCTGTTGGGAATTGGGGCTGGTCCCTCAGTGCTGGGAGCACAGGGAATATGCTGTTTTGCAGTGTGAATGCTCCTGTTTTCTTCTAGGCTGCTCTCTCTTGTCTGTGTTGTGGTTTCCAGCAGCTCCCCCATTTATCTCAGTGTTCTCCTTGCGTCTCTCCCCATGCTTCCATGACCTTGCTTTTTTCTTCTGTAACATCTCGAGCACAGTTCATTTGTTCCCTGTTTCCTTTGTTTCTTTCTGGCATTTTTCTTCTTTGCCTCTGATTCCTTTTCAGACAGTTTAAAAGGCTCCCATGTTCTCTTTGTTCTCTCTCCACTTTCCTCTTTCCCAAGACCCATTTCAGAGAGGCAATCCTGTTCGTGACAGTGCTTGTGCATCTGTGTAACTCCCATAAGCCCTGTGCCTGTGTAGTGTACCAGGGTCTTAATCTCTCGCTCTCCTTGGGTTTTCTTCTTTCCATGTTTCTTGCTGTTCATCATGAGAACAATCTTTTTAAGGGAAAAACTTCTTATTTCCAGTGGCTACAATTGGGCTGACAGATTTTTACATTGCCTTTTTGTTGTTAGAGTAGAAAGAAAACTTGAACATCAGGTACTGGGGGCTTGAGTTCATCCTGTTTCTGGCTGTCATTTCTGTGAGAAGTATCTGATCAGAAATCAAAGCTATCTGCTGCGCTCTTAGCAAGATTCAGACAAACTCTGAACGCACACATAACTACAAATGAAGCATTTTAATTCTTGGGTCAGGAGTTCAAATCCATCCAGCTTGCCAATTGCAAAAACTCATTACTGCCTGATGGCCACTTAGGAGCTACTTGAAATTACTGGGAGTGAGTGAGGGGATTTAGAGGGGGGGAGGTGAAGGAGTAGGGGGTCATCTCCTACCACTTCACATACAACACTTTCCCCTCCAACTGAGAGAGCTTGCATCCATGTCAACAACCTCAGCTAAGGAAGCCAACGGCAGAGGCTGAGCTGTACACTTACACCCCTGCAAAGGCAGGCTGCCGAAGCAGGGCCCCAAGGACCAGCGTTCCCTGGCACAGGCTGATTGAATTCTGGTGGGCTTCAGACTGCAGCGCTGTCAACGTGCCGCGTTTTTAAACACATCTTAAAACCTCCTTTGATGTTTTATCTCTCTCATCAGAACAATTAGCTCCTCGATGCTCTCTGTACAACAAAGGAAATTAATTAGGGGGAGTCAGATGCTGTGATACAGAGCAGTGTTTGGGAGACTGCAGTGTCTCGTGTGAGTTTCGATGTTGCAGCAGCTGAGTTAGAGGCTGTTGTCATGTGTGGCAGGGTATAGCTGGACAGAAAGGTCCTACTGAAATGGAAAGTCACCTTACAACAGCTCTGCATTTCCACCCTGCTACATGTTGTTTCTCTGTGAGCTGAGATGCAAAAGGGGTGTATGTGGGGAAAGCAGCCACCCTGTGACTCTCTCATGAATACTACAGTGCATGACGAGTAAGGAAAAGATCAGACCCATGTATTTTCAGTTCCAGATACACCCTGGCTGGAAATCAAAGTGGTGTAGCTCTGCTTTTGCTTCCCCCATCATATTTCTAAATGGATTTTCCCTGTAAGGCACTGAGATGCCAAACTTTGATCATAATCATCTGACTTTCAAACAGAAAGATATCAAGAGCCATTTCTTTTCTGTGATGTATGCAATCTACTGACATGAAAAGAATGCAGTTAATGTGATTGGGAGAAACAGGATTTTGATCCCAAGGATTTGAAGTCAGGGCTCTTGTTTGTAAAACTCGAAGTACAACAGTATTTTCCACATGCCTGACAGATGGTTGGAAAGCATCCACATGTTTTCCAGTTTTGGTTGATTGATTGGTTTGGGTTTAGGCCTGGGGTTTTTTTTTTTTAGCGAATCCCCCAGACTGATGCAGGCTTCCTTGACCTTGGAACTGCACTGTTGCGAAGGAGGTGGAAGCTTGGCTGTTCATCAGCCTTCTCAGTCATACAGACCAGAGAGAGTATTGTAAGGTTTTTGCAAATCCCTGTCTGTACAATTGTGAAAGGATGTGTAAATGTAGGCACTTGACAGAGACCCTCATGGGATGTGAACACTGTCCCATGATGTGAGAAATAGGTTATCAGGCCTGAAAGAAAGCCTTGGGTAATGGATGTTCTTGGCTGTCTCTAATGCTGCCAGTTCCAGGCAGATTGAAAAGATGGACGGCATCCTGGCCCTTCGGGAAGCTTTGCAATTGCTCCACTTAGTTGAAGATCACACCTTCTTCAGTGCAGGACTGCAGTGCTCTGGCATCTCTGACTGCTGACTGCTGACCTCTAGGTCATATTGGAGGAAGCAAGCCCACAGCCTAAAGTCTGCCAGTTCTGCCTGCGGAGCTCATCGGACCTGAAATCTTAAGCCCAGAGCATGGGGCTCCAAACCTTGCTCTGGCAGGAACTGAGGGAGCAAGGCTGTTGGGAGAGGTGTGGATGACGGTGCCATTGCTTAGAGAGCCTGTTTCCTTGCATTGCAGCCTGTCAGACAGAAATGGGAGCCTGACTGACAGCATGCACAGCTACAGCTTCAAAGGAAACAGATTTTCCTGGGAAATGGGATGCTAGTGAAAAAGTATGATATCTTTCCAAAAGTGTCATGAGAGGAGGAATCTCTTGTAGCAGAGGTTGCTTCTCTAAGTGGTAGCAATAACTTCAAAGGAAAGGCCTAAAAAATTTACCAAATACAGTAAAGACAGGCAGCAAATGTTAATAATACAATTTATTTTTTTTTTAGTTTTCTCAATTATTTAAGGAGCCTTTCTAATGGATATGGGCTGCAAATTAATTTTCTCCTATGAGAGTCAGGATATTTTAAGAATAATATACTCCAGTGGCATTTGCATCTGGAGCATTTCTCTGTCCTCTTACTGAACAGTAGGGAAAAAAAAAGGCCAAACAGTGGAACTTTGGAAGTGAAGATAAAAGAGGGAAATACACGAAGGGCTGAAAGATTTATCAACTCGTGTTGCATCATTCTCCCACAAAAACATAAGCGAAAGTGAAATGAAGGGAAAAAAGAGCTGTGAACCACAATGAAGATAACTAAAGAGGGTACAGAGCAGCTGTCAAAGCAAATATGAAGCAACATTAATAACTTCATAGCACGTCAGAAGACTGTCTCAAACCTTCACAAGAAAATAGGAGCTTTTGTTGATGCAGAGGGTAAACAAAACTAAACCTCGAGTGCAGGCACTAGTCTTTGACAGAGATATGCAGTGTCAATCTGGAGCAGAACAAGAGATTTTAATGGAGTTAATGTGACTATGAGCTACCAACTGAGAAAAAGATCTGGTTCTGAGCTTTCAAAAACTTACAGCTATGTGGGAAGAGCTGTCTTCAGTGGAGAGCTCACACCTCTGGAGAAAATAAGAATGCACTTTCTTAATGCCTTTAGTTCTGTATAGAGGAGGCGAATTTTTCTGTGCACAGAAAAGGCAAACAATGAGTGGTTGCTGCAAACTGCTCATTTTTTAGTCAAATGTTCAGCATTTTTGTTTCCCTAAAATCACTTTTGTCTCTTACAAATTTGGGAAAAAATTTATGCTTTGGGCCATAGAGTGGAGTTTTGCTTGTCTTTGCCTTCAGTGTAAGCAGCAGCTCTTCTCAGAGCCAGAGAGGGGAGCTTGTCAGAGATCTGCCGGTGTGGCTTGAACTCCCTAGCCAGTATTTAGGAACATCTTTCCATCAGACTTGCTGTGTCCAAATGGTTCCTGTGTACAGGTTAGGAAAACGTTCAACATGGGTGAGTAAAATCATTGCGCTACAGGAATCAAGGAAATTGTTGTAAGCATATTGGTGCCAGCATGGCATCATCAGTTTATAGTCACAAAAGACACTCCTACAAGCTCTTATATTCTACACCTACAACCAGAAAATGACAGAAGCAAATGCTACTCTGAAGTGTGTCAGATTCTTTGTTGCACACAACTTCACTTTCTTACAGGTTGTAAAGTCTCCCAGGAGGCTATGGTTTGATATTGCATGTGGTATGAAACCGCAATCTGTTATGTTTCTACAGCACCCACTAAAAAAGGGGTCTGAATAGCTCCCCTGAACATTAAAAGAGGAGCTACAAGGAAGCTATTACTGACTGTAGTAATGCCTGGTTTTAATCTCATTTCCATAGCAAAGAAATTTCCTCTGACTCAGATGTAACTGGGATTATTCCAGGTTTGTCCACACTTGAGATGAACAAGTGCATCTGCTCACTTGTTTAAATGTCCCTCTGCATTGACCTGGTCCTATCTCCTTTGCCTCTTCTTAAAGCAAAGTGAACAATGTAGGAATGCCTGAAGCCAATGTTAGCTAGTATTTCTATATGGGCAATTTATGAAGTTCCACAAAGCTAGGAAAAGTAGAATTCTGCCATTTTCTCCTAGAAAACACAGCCTACCTTCTTATCTTCAGTCCCAGTTATGCCTTTCAGATCCTAGCTCTACCATTCTGTTCTTGCATCTGCCTTTTGTGTATTATGTGTTTAAGGGCTAAGCATTCATTTCACACTGAAAGCTGTTTCTTTGGGTTTTAATGTAGGTATAAATACAGGAGGGAAATTCATGCTTGACGAGAGTCGTGTGATATTATTACTCCACTATGGGATATACTCTGTGTTTCCAGAAGGGAGGTTCCTATTTTGTCCAATATGCTTTTCCTTCACTTGAATTGACCAGAGTCTATCAAAGTAATGATCAAATGTCTCTTTCTTTCTTTCTTTCTGTATTTTTTCTTGAAATATGTCATTCTAAAAGAAAGAAAAACTTCTTTTTGTTATACAGTGCTTCACTCTCTCCAGTATGTGAATTATGTTAAAATTGTGGAAGTGCCTACTAACCACAGACAGATCTGAATTATTTCTACTGGTACCAAATGAGCCTTTATACCTCATTCTGTCCCTGCAGAAAGGAAGTCTTACTGTTTCTTGGCATGCATCTACCTTGAAGAATTCACCCACTTCTGTATCCATGTATAATGATTACTTGGACATAATAAGGATCGTGAAAGAGAAGGATGTTCTTCATTAGAACAAAAAGCTGGTAATAGCAGAGAAAAATGACTATCTGTGATAAAAGCCTGGCAACATGAAAGATCAGATGAGTTACTCATATGTAATTACTCTCTTGAGTCCATATGGTCATGGTGTATTATATTATTCCCACTCAGCATGCTAGTGGCATTCTGTTGGTGTCTTTCTTGTTATTAACCATATCTGCTTCATTAATCGAAAGACCCAATACTTTACTCATAGAATTAACAGCTGTGGTGGGAATAGGGGGTAAAGGAACCTGAAGGACTTTTTTGTAAGTGATACAGAACTTTCACTGGATGACAGAGCATAGGTCCCTCTGCAAATGAGATCTGGGAGCCTGCTGTAAAATCTCCAAAAGGCACTTGCACTGCTTTGTCCCCAAAGGACTTTCAGAAATCCTACTATGCTAATGGTAGTTATTTAGAAATCTTTTAGCAGTTCAGTCCTCTTAACTCCTATGGCCTTTATGCTCCCAAGAACTTAATCACATTTGAGAATGGGACTTGGAATTCTGAGTCTTTTAGGGAAAAGCAGTTTCTGTCCATAAGCCAGCTGGAATTTCTGTTCCTAACTGGAATCAGGCGAGTGAAAATTGCTTCCTTGTTTCAGGTGTGTGTGCATGTGTGTGTGGGAGGGGATGTCAGCGCTTTCACACAAAATTAACCTCTTTCTCAAAATTAAAAGTATTTCTTACCTCCTTTTTAATGGTATAATGAAGTACTTGATTATGCTGGTTTTGAAGGGTGTTGGCATTCTTTCCTGCCAGTTTGGCTTTGCCAGATGGAAGTCTTCCCGTAGTTTACATGTGAGGTATTGCAGTATAATCAACTCATGAGGCTTCCAGTATGATTTGAAAAGGTTTTGAAGAAAACTGTAAAAGCTTCAGGACCACTTCAGTCAATTGCAGGATCATACAAGAAGCCATCAGCCACTTAACTTACAAAATAGAGCTTCTCTGCCAGTGTGTTGTCTTCTCAGAATAGCTGAGTATTGGCAATGTCAATAAACTGCAGGCTGTCTAGTCAAATTGCTTCCTTTTATTTATCTATCAAGAAAATGTGTTACATAGACACGAGAGCTCTGAAGGGACAATACATGCATGCATGTGCCCTGTGCACTTTTCACTGAGAGTATGTGCAAGCATCTGCTGATTCCCTCACAGAAAGATGCCACATATTGGTTAAAAGCTTTTTGTTGGCATTTGTTTGATGTTTGCCTGCATGAATGTGGTCTTCATTTCATAATGGAAGTTGTCTTCATATTTTCAGTGGTTTTAAGCATTCTGAAGGTGGTGATAGAGCTTTCTAAATGTTTATCATCACAGCCAGAAAATACTTCTCATTCTTTTTGCTAAGACCACCCTTCTGTGTGGAATCCCTGGTCCCCACCAGGCAAGTACAATAGCTAACCATCTTCTTGAGATCATACGAGAAGAACCCTGTCTAAGGAACTTAAGAGGAAAAAACCCAACTGTGCTTGGCATTCTTTCCCCATCCTAAGGCTGCTGTACTTCTGTGTGTGTTTTGTGCTTTATGCAAGTGCTCTAAAGTAAGACACAGCTAAAACCATTAATTTGGAAGCATGGCCACAGGCTCCAGCAGGAGTCAGAGCAGGCACTTGCTCAAAACAGAAAATACAGAGAAAGTATTTTGTAAGAAAAAGAAGCAGCAAATGCAAATTCCTTAATTGCTCTTCAGACTGGAGGGGGGGCAGGGTATTATTCACACTGACAGCTTTAGAATAACTAACACAAACAAAATTTGGGGATCAGGAAAAATACTTATAGTTCTCTTGTTTTGGAAGGGATTACTCTTGAATGTGCTGCTAATCTGACTAATACATTTATGTTACACTTTGGGGGTAAAGGGGATTAGGTGGGAGGAATTAAAGAGATTTGAAATGGATACCATATTTGGTAGAACATCTAATGAGATTACTTAAAAAAAGAAAGGCTGCCTTATGCGTAGGCTTCACTAAGTCCAGAGACTCTAATGAGATCATGTATTCTGTCTCCAGTAGGGTGGATGGTGCCAGTTCCTAACTGTGGGAATGAAATTCATTGGACTGTGATTAACTCAAGGATTGTAGCAGTACCCAAATTGGCACTTAGAATTTCACATCTCTCAGGGGCCATAAGGAAGTGCTGTAGAAAGAGAGCAGGGAGTCACTTCTGTACCAATGATGACGCATTATTTATTTTACACCACACTGAATTTCATGGATGAAGTTTTATTTTCCTATTTCTTAAAAAAGGAGATTTTATGGAGGCTTTTTTTCAAATGAACTTGGAGTTGAATCAATGGTCTGTCCCTTCTGTTCATATGATTTCAGATGCCTAAAGCCACAGGATATGAGGTGGGTTATTAGATATGCCTTTCCAAAGAGGAAATGGTAAGACAAAAATGACCTGCCTGAAGTTACAGTTTATAGATTAGAAAAAAGACACAAACAATTAAAAGGCGGAGACAGTTAGGGCAAATTACTTGCAATCAAGCTGCAGCTAAATGAGCTTCTTGATGAGGAAACTAAATTTATGTTGTTTAGAGCCACAAAGAAATGTTCCTAAAACAAACAAAAAAAAGTTGAAGGTGAGTGAATTGTTAGCGTGGCTGGATACAGATGTGTTGATAAGGGAAGTTATGGATGCAATGAAAGCTCTGGTCTGGGGTAAGGAAAAAAATAATAGTGACTACAGGGAGCTTTCCTGTCAAACCCAGTGAGACAAAACCTTAACAGGTGTAGGATGTTTCCCCCATCCCATGTTTTCAGGTGTGGCTAGCAACCTCAATAATCAGTTTTGACTCCAACCAAGCGAAATGTGGCAGTTCAAATGAAAACAGAGATTCTGCAAAAGATGATGTATTTAAAGAAAAGGGTGAGTGCTAGGGGCAGGGGGGAATACATTTAACACTAGAATGAAACATTTTGTTCGGCTTTTCTTTTTCCAAATTACCTCTTTGGCAGCTGTTTGAAAAGGTCTTTGAAAAGTTATGTATATTCAGTGAGGAAGACTGAAAGCCACACAAAAGCCCTGAAGAAATGTGATGGATTCAGTGTGAGACACCAGTTTTCTCTCTTTGTTGATCTCTATATATTTTGCATTCAATGTAGTATTCATCAATTTCAGTGAATGCTAGCCGTTGTCTACCTGTGTTTATCTGAAAGGAGTGACTTTAAAGACTTTGTAATTATGAAAAGGTGTCAAGGGGGCCTATAGGGATGCTGGGGAGGGAGTATTCATTAGGGACTGCAGTGATAGGACAAGGGGTAATGGATTCAAACTTAAACAGGGGAAGTTTAGTTTGGATATAAGGAAGAAATTCTTTCCCGTGAGGGTGGTGAGGCACTGGAATGGGTTGCCCAGGGAGGCTGTGAATGCTCCATCCCTGGCAGTGTTCAAGGCCAGGTTGGACAAAGCCTTGGGTGGCATGGTTTAGTGTGAGGTGTCCCTGCCCATGGCAGGGGGGTTGGAACTGGATGATCTTAAGGTCCTTTCCAACCCTAACTATTCTGTGATTCTATGATTCTTATCGCATTGGAATAGTAGGCATGACACAGTAGACAAAAGCAAGGTATAATGGGGCTTCTTATTGCCAGTCAGAAAGGACTAGTATATGTAGAAGGAGATAATATTTTGCTGGCATTTTCCCTTACCTTGGTTCCTCCTGTCCTTCCATGCAAAATTGTTGTGTGAACAGGACCCTGCAGAAGTAGGCGGGTGGAGAGCAGCTGGGAAAAAAATTCAGTCTTGAGCTAGAGGAGCTGCAATTCCCAAGTATGAACTTGTGACAACAGTCTGGAAGTGACTGCTCCTGTCGTGTTTCGAACAGCAAATGAGAAGCCCAACCCCCATAGCTCCATAATCTTTTGGAGCATTAAAACACTAATGATAGCGTGTATATATAATTTTCTGCTCAGTTGCAAACAGCATTTATCATCTGGCAAACTTTATAATATTGAAATAAAGAGGTTATAATGTGCTGGGCCAGTTATCAGGAAATACAGCTGAGACTGGGTCTCAGTCAGTAAAATTAAATTAAGAATACAATTTTCCATTGATATTGTATAAACTGTAATTTTTCTGTTTAGTTAAGCTTTGAATTTTGTAAATTCAATGTAGGTTTGTAGCTAAACAGCCTTAATTTTGTTGCTTAAATAGGAATGGATTTGGTAGGGCTTTCCCTATTACTAGCAGGCATTGCCTCTCTTCAGGCTGGATACTCAAAGTTGATATGCAGCAACTCATACAAAGAAGCTTGAGGTTTGGTGTAATCATGGGCTTTATATTTTGTCACTGATCTTACTATTGTTTTACAAATGTGGTTAGGATTAAGGTCAATACACACAATATGCACTATTTATTTTTGCATTACATAATAACTCATACACCGAAAGCATGGAGAACATTTACAAGCTTCATTTGTGTGGAGTTTTATCCCTCCTTAGCTGTGCTTTTGTACAGTCCTTCATTCTGTCTTTTCAGTTGGATGTGGGGATGACCAAGAGAAGGAAGATAAGGTTGTTAGGACCTGCTTTTATCTCTCATCAGGATCCTAAGGGCAGCATCATCTGTTGTGAGGGATTGCTGGCAAGGTTTGAAATTAGGAAGAAACTAATTTTCATTAGTTGTTATTTGGGCATTATTTTAAACTCCCCAGAGGTGAAGGGCTGGATGATTAGACAGGTAAGTAATGTGGAGAGCCTAATGGCTGGGAACTGCTGAAGAGAAAATTTGGCTCCTCATTTATATACCAATTGTCTGAGAAAGTGAAGGCATCTGGTTAGCAGGGAAGGTATTGGGAGATGGGTGCTGACTTAGTGGCAGAGGCCTGGGAAGAGGAGTGAGGCTCTGATTTGGTCTAAATGAAGAGAACTACCAGTGTCCTTCTGAGAGTGCATTTACCTTAGCCCAGTTTCTCCTTCGCATTGCTCAGCAGGAAGCCAACCCACTCTGACCCTTGAGAAGCAGAGCAAGAGAGAAAATGGTTGGAAACATCATAATGTCTCCTATAACTTTTTCTCCTCATTTTCCTTCTGTTAGTCCCTCCTCAGTTAGCGCTGTCCTATGCAGTGTACTTTATCCTCAATGGACAGAGAGAAAGGCATGAAGTATGGGGTACCTTCAGACAAATCTAAAAAGAGCTGTGCAGCAGGATCCTAAGGGGGAGAGGGACAGTATTCACAGCAGGTCTCCATTCAAGTTAAGAGAGTGTGCACTGGATCTCCCACTCACCTGCAGCTTCCCAACCAGAGGATAGGTTAGGAGAAAAAAAAACAGAATGGAAGGCAGAGTGAGGATTAGATTAACAAGGTCACCAATGGTAGCAACATTTGTTTTCCAGCCATGACTCACAGTCGTGCGAGTCACAGCAGCTGTAGGGAGGGGGGTAAGAATGGTATAGAGGGCTGGTGGTACTTCACATGAACGTTCCACCTTCTCCATATAGACCCTGCACATGTTGGAGAGTATTGTTAATAAACTTGCTCCATTATATTCTAATTTGCAAAATTAAGAGGGTATCATGTAAAGACATGATAGATGGAGGTATCTGTTTCAGCAGCTGTCCAGTGCTGTTCAGTTACACTTGTCTTTGTCTTTGCTGTAGCTAATACTGAAATAGCCCCACTGAATCATGATAAATGTGGTCTTTAATAATAATAGTGAGCTTATTTCATGCTGAAAACATCATTGCAGCAGAATGAACACGTAGGCCAGCAAATTTATGACAATTTCCCAGTTTCTGTGTTGCAAAGAGTAAGACTGGGCTTTAGTCAACCAGAAACTGGTGTAATATTGGCGTGATATGGAAAAACAGGGCCATTAGAAGTGTTTTTATTGCAAAGAATAAAAAAACGTGCTATGTCAAACTGGATTTAGATCCCTTGCCTCTTCCCCACTGCCTCAAATGCACTACACAAGTTTCTTTCCAGTGAGAGCCACGTTCCTGTGAACACTTTGGCTCTGGTTCTCAACCTCTTCCAGTGTTGCCATTAACCTGGATAGTTTTATTTTTCCAGTCTACATGCAAGCCCCATTCTGTTAGTAAAGAATGACTGTCCAAATGTCTATTCAGGTGCACATAGTAGCTTGGAACTGTGCAGCAGGCTTGTCTCTTCCTGCAGCCATCCTTTCCTCCCACCTCACTCTACAGCTAGAGCTAAGTATGATGCTTACTCTTCTAGGAGCAGACAATCTCTCTCTTTCCAAGGGGACTGTTTGACCCAGAGAGAAACAAGCAAGCCAAGGGAAACAGACAAGTCTCCTGCTTAAGCTGTGCTCTTAAAATGCCATGATATACAATGCTTACTAAATGAGCTTAGAGCACCAGGTCAAATACTTATCTCCTCTGTCAATAAGTAATACTCAAAATGCCCCCTTTTTTCTGCCATAAATCACCATTGTGCCTAAAAACTCACAAGTTAAAAGTCCTATTGTGTATGTGGTGTTTGCACCCTGATCATCTCTAACAAATATCTCCAGATGAAAACAAAAGAAAGCCTTGTTGGGTAGGGCTCTTTATATTGACTTAATCTATCTCACAACATCGGTTACGTAGGTGTCTGTAGATACAGGCCTAGAAATACATTCCTAGCTTCATCTTCCAGTAGTTTCCCTCTGAAGGCACCAGAATAACAGCACGTATAAAGAGCTTGCTAATCTGAAGTCCCGATAGTACAGATATGGGCTGTGTGGTCAGACCTAAAGTCATGCTGGACACAAAGCCTTAGGGAATTTTTATTCACACCCCTTAGGCTACTTCACTCAGCAGCTGTTCCCTAATCTTGGGTAAAGCTTCACCCTCTCTTCTTGTAAGGGCAGGGCCAAGGCAGGAAAAGAGGAGTCACAGATTGCAACCTGTAAGAGGATCCCCATTTGGAACCCTTTCTTTTTCCTCCTCCTTCTGCAGATGCTCACCCTCTTCCTTTCCACACGTTTTCCCCACAGGCTACAGCAGGGGTGACGATGTGCAACCTGTGTTGGGCTCTGAGCAAATGTCAGAAAAAAATACATGCCTTTTGCTGAAGCGTTTCCTGGTCGAACAGCTGTTTTGCCTCCAGTGGGAAAGTGTGGAAGGAGGAGGCACCAGCAGGCCAGATTCAGTCCCTAGACCCTGGCAGGATGTGGCAGAATATGCAGCAAATACCTTTCCCCAGCATCTGCATTGAGGAGTCATTTAGAATTATTTCTGCTGAGCAAAGTATCAATGAAGTTGCTAAGTGAAGGCATGTAATCCCTTATTTACTGAGAAATAGTTCTTTGTTTCCTCAGACATGAGTATAGTATTTATATTATGAAGAAAAAAAGCTACTTCTGTAGTTTTGTGCCAACCTGGAGAAACATGACTCGAGTACTCAAGTTTGTGTTATAACTTTTCTCAAGTTTGTATTGTGAAGTGGAATTTAGAGGTAAAGGACTACACGAATTCTCAATAGAGATCTGGTGCTTGTGTGGTTTACCAGCTTTATGGCTCCTCTCTTTGCTTTGTCCTGATGCTGTTTTTCCTTTGTTTGCTAATGTTTCTTACCCCTCATGGCTGTTACCTTCCTTCCACGTCTCCCATGCTCAATAAGATTCGTAGCCTGGTCTTCTAAGGGAATGAGCATCCTCAGTTTTTTGTACTTTTGTCCTCTTCTTTTTCCCCCAAAGCAACCTGCAGACCTAGTGGCAAAATTCAGTTCAGTTTCACAGAACGGACCTCAGAGTTCTATGCAAATAGGTGACCAGAAAGACCAGAGAAGTCCCATTAGGTTCTCCCACTGAGGAGCTAACTAAACAAATCATCCTTTCTTAGATGTCTGGGAGTCTACGCAGGGCCAGACCAGGCTTCATTAGTTCTGCTGGGTACAGAAGAGCCAGCTGTTCCTTCAGCTTGGTGTAGGCTACCCACCTACTTGCTTTTAGGCTGTAGCATATATAATCTGATGAAAGAGTGATAGGAGGAAGGTGTTTGTAACTCAGAAAGGTTTCCTTTGGAGGTGTGTGTTTGCCCTGTGCAAGATGCTTAGGTTAACATTTTATGACTATAGAGAAGAAACATCAAAACCACTCAGTGCACATGCCAGGAAAAAAGGACAACACACAACAAGAAGGCTATGCATTATTAAAGGCAGTGCTCTGCAGTCTGGAGGCAGTCTTCAGGGAGCAGATGGATTTTGTGTGCACCAACCAACAGATTTATGAAGAAACCTTAAAAGAAAAAGAAATAATAAAAAAGTTGAGATCTGCAATATAATCTCATCTTAATTTAGTAAGAACGTCTATGAATTCTGATCATACCCAGGGCTATCACAAAACATGTGATGCTAGGGTCCCTTTACTCCTTTCACTCTCCCTAAATGTGTGTGTGTGGAGAGGAAGAGAAGTGGGCTTGTCTGGGAATCTGCTTTTCTGGTGTTTCCTTCACTGGGGCCCTGCAGAGTGCAAAACTCAGTGCACACACTAGTTACTGCTAGGATGCCAAAGAAATGTGTCACCTTAAGTACCTGTTCTGCCTTCCTTTGGGTTACTGGTGAGAAGTCCGACTCGTCAAATGCTGGGTATTACCCAAAGGCAACCTCAAGCGTAGTTTGCTCACTTGCCTGGCCAAGGGGGACCCTGCTGCTCTGGTCCAGCTTACAGCTTGGACCAGTTATGTATGAATTAATTAAGACTGAATTCTATCATTACCAGAGATTTTCATTGAACCACAGAATCATAGAATGGTTTGGGTTGGAAGGGACCTTAAGGATCATCTAGCTCCAACCCCCCTGTCACGAGCAGGGACACCTTCCACTAGACCACATCACTTCCACACACATACTTTTTATTTATGTTGTTTGTGGTTTTTGTGGGTTTTGATGGGTTTTTTTCCCTCCCTTCTCTTCAAATGTTTCCCAGAAACTTGGAGAGAAAAGTGTTCTGTACTGATGATATTGCTGTTGCTCTTTCAGCTTTATCACAGAGGTGTAGGATCAGCTTTGCAAGCCTTAAATTCTCTGTTCTTATCATACTTTACTTTATCATAAGATATGACCTTTTCAGAAAGTCCAGGATAGGAGAGGTTGGCTATTTTGAGCCAATAGAATATAATGGTAGGTACAAAGAGATAGAGATGTGAGACAAATTGTACCTCATGGGTGTCCAAGCCATTAAGTATGGTTTTCTGATTGAAGAATGAATTGATGAGACAATGCAAAATATTCATGTCATGCTATATTTGAGTGATGAGTTTTTTATCTGTTATACAATGCTTATGGAAAAAGAAAAAGAAATGGTTGAAGAATGTCAAGGAAGGCATAGGCAAGAATAAGAACTGGAGAATGAGCATGATTTAATAATTTGAAAATTAAGATGCAGGTTCATATCCATTACAGACCACTGCTCAAAAGGGAGTTAGGAAATGCCACTGTTTCAGACATAAGAATTAATCCTGAATTATATAGGAGAGTCTTAGGATCTAGAAAGAGCTACGGGGAAGCAAGCAGGTCCTTCATATGGGACTAGGGAAGTGGGGTTTTCTGTTTTTTTAAGGTAAGCTGTTGAGTTGAGACTGCCAGAAGCCCCACCTGAAATTTTCTTTAAGGATGAACAAAGCTTATAAAGTCTGAGTCAAAAGAAGCGTTTAACACCGTGTGCTTAAACACGTATCAGGAGTTCACTGTCACTTTTTCAGCCTTAATTCTACCAGCTCTACTCAGCTACTCCACGGAGTCATTTTATGTTTGTATAAACCTCCATCTCATTCAGAGTGGAGCACAAGCTGTTGAACTGTAATGGTGAATTTGCACTTGTCTGTGTATTATGGTAGATCCATTATGCAGCTGCTCTGAACCTTAAAGCAGGTTTATCACCATTTTATTAAAGGAAGACCAAAAGAGAGGAGGAGGTTAATTTTTTAAGTATCTCGCCTCCACCTTCATTTCAGAGATTCATTACCTGTCCTCTGACTTCTCTGTGAGTATTCTTCCCTCAGTTATCCATTACTTCAGCTGTTGCCTTTATCTGAAGAGGGTTTACAACAGCTCCATTAGCACTTCCTTCTTAATAGGAGGTGTGGGTGGTCCCTGCTGTTAGCCAAGGAAGTATCAAACTGGAAGGTTTGTATTTAGTGAACAAGGACTAGTACCCTTGGGTCTGGAAACTGCTCTGATTCACACTGTTCCCTCCCACCACACTTCAGCAGTTCCAGGCACTTCAGTAATTGTGTTGCTGGTGAACAGTGTGAGAAGGATCAGGGTAGGTCCTGGTGTCTTTGAAAAGCTGGGCTTCAAATGTAACTGCTATGTGCATAGGGAGAGCTGCCTGGAGTCTGTACCTACGTACCACAGCCCTGCAAATTTCCATTTTTCTCCAATAGAACCACCAAGAACTGAGTCTGTCCTCAGTTCCACTGTGGGTATTGCAGATCTGCAGTCACATTGGCATGATGTGGAGCCATGGGACCTCTGCCTGGGCTGGAAAGGCAGAGTACCTCTGTGTCTCTACCAGTCTGGATGGCTGCCTCTGGCTACAGCGGGGGGTGCAAAGCCACTGTAATTGTTTTGCATCCCTTAGGGTGTAGCAGTTGCCACATTGACAAGTCCTGATCCTGGGGCGTGAAGATGCCTTCTTGCGCCATATTCACTTTGGGTGAGATCCAAAGTCATCAAAAGGAAGAATCCACTTTTGACACTGGTTTGGGTGGAGAAGGGAAATTTTTGCATTGGTTTGGATTACAGTGAGATGGTATCACTGTGACAGTAGGAAGGATTGAGTCAGGAGTCCGATGCTTTTTTTACATAATGGCTATTAGCATGACCTGGAAATGACAGGGCTGCAAGTGCTGACAGATCCATTCCTCTGGAGACAGTTTGGAGAAAGCGAGAAGGAAAGTGCTTTTTCACCTCTGATTTGGAACAAGACAGCTGTGTAAAATTATTTGTGAGCCTTTAGACTGCTTTGAGCAGGGAAAGAGGACTTTGTTTCTGAGTGGAAACCATAGAGACATTTAATTACACTACAAAAAATATACACAATAAACAAGTCTATTTTATTTTACTTTATTTTTTTCAGCCAAATATACTAGAGAGCCCTAGAGGGAAAATATATTTTAGTACTTTACAGTTACAATTGCAATTTATGTTAGTCTAGTGTCTTTCATATGAGAAGTACCATATCATAAAACACTTTACAGTCTGTTTATCAATACAATAAACTGAGAATATTGCTCAATTTACTTTATTAGAACTTGCTGAGAGATACAAAAATAAAACCAGTTTGGATTGCTAGTGCTTGTTCTCTTTTTTTGAGCAAGTGAAACATTAGAAGAGAAGCATAGCAAGATATAGTCTTAGTTATGAAAGAAAGAGTGTAAAAAAGCTTTAGGTAATGAGAAAAGGTTGATCTGAGGACAGATTTCTCTTCCAAGAAGTCCAAGAAATGGCTGGATTGCAAAGTACATTCAGACACTTCAGTGAAGCTTAGAGCCAAATAAAGCCATTATAATACCACTGGTTTTGCTTGCTTGAATTGTGGGATACTTCTGAAGTTGTTTTTATGGCCAGCACTTGCTGGAGTTTGGTTCATTAAGTATTTTTGTGATACCGCAGAATCTTGCAGTAAAGCTTTAACAGAGGTGTTCACATGAAAATTTATGATGCAGGCAGAAAAAGAAAACAAACCAGTTTTGTTAGGCAAGGGTTTGCATATTTCGATATATATATATTTACCCAGTACTAATGACTGGTATTGGAGTCAGTCACAAACATATCATGGGCAGTAACCCGTTTAGCCCCAGAACTTAAGAAGATATAGGCAGTGATTTCTTCTCTTCTGTTAGACATTTTAACTACTCTGAGCACAAATGCTTAACCTGCCTCAGAAACTGCTGCCAGTTATTTTACATCATGCTTGTCTAGTGCAATTGTGCAATGAGCAACTACTGTGCTCACACAGATTTTGCTGTAGAGTGATGTTATGCATGTGCATACACTTCTAGTGGGTGTCCAAAAGACACATTTTCCTAGTTTGAGGTGATAAATACAAGCATGCATTAATTGTGTCAGAAGGGTATTGAGTACTGTTCTACAACAGTATCACTCCTAGTCAGTTAAAGCTGTTTGAGAGGTTTAAGTGGGCACTTAACAGTGGGTATGTTAACAGCTTTGGATTTTTTTAAGCTTAGCCTCATTTTATAAGGCTCTGTTTTGAGATGATTGAAGCATTTTCTTGTTGTTCGCTATTAATATTTCAAGAAATATTCAGTATCTGAAGGGGGGCTATAGGGATGCTGGGGATGGACTCTTCATTAGGGACTGCAGTGATAGGACAAGGGATAATGACTTAAAACTTAAACAGGGGAAGTTTAGATTGGATATAAGGAAGAAGCTCTTTACTGTGAGGGTGGTGAGGCACTGGAATAGGCTGCCCAGGGAAGCTGTGAATGCTCCATCCCTGGCAGTGTTCAAGGCCAGGTTGGACAGAGCCTTGGGTGCCTTGGTTTAGCGTGAGGTGTCCCTGCCCATGCAAGGGGGTTGGAACTGTATGATCTTAAGGTCCTTTCCAACCCTAACTATTCTATGATTATATGAAATACTCTCACATTTTCCTCCATCCTGGTGCAAATTGTAAGTTTTCAGCCTGCTGTATTATAACATCAGTTACAGGTATTCTTGCTTTGGAGTTTTATTGCCACAAACTTAAAACTAGCCCTAATTTCATGCTATGTCAGTTTGTTATAAATTATAATACTTGATCTTTCTACATGATTATTTGTATGTCTCTACAACACTGTTTTGCCTTGCTTTGCAAACAGTTGTTACCATTAAGAACACTGGCATTTCAGAACTGTGCTTTATATTTTATATATATCTATGTAATACTGTACTCTATCATTTAGTTCAGGAAAGACGAGTGGTAACTGAATGATATTCACTGACAAAATTAAATTCAGAAAGACAAATAACTGTGCAGTAACAGGAGATTAGAACAAATAAACTAGTTATACACTGAAGAAAAATCCAGCCCAGGTGATTCATTGCTGCTAATTTCAGCACAACAACAAGTGAATTCTATTTCAGTTACCATCAGAGACTCTTCAGGAATGCAAGCATAAGCCCAAAAGGGAGAAATGCAAAACCCGTCAGATGTTTGGAATGCAAAGATATACATTATCCAGTATGAGACTGCCAGGTACAACAGGGTCAGTCCTGTAGATTGGGAAACTCAAGTTTTGAAACACAGGGTTATTGTTTTTCTAATTGCTTTGGACACCTCTGTGTTATTTAGTAGTTATGTATTCAGAAACAGCCTTTTGCAGTAACTTCCATACAAGATGACATCAGCGCAATGCTGCAAGAACTAGAAGACTGTGTGAGCTCTATTTGTGTTTCTGTCAGCGTTTAATTGAATTGTCTGTGAGGAATTGCTAGGCCTGGAGCAATTACTATCAAGAGCAGAACTATTAGCTTAAATCTTCCATACCCTCTTTCTTCTATAGAAACCACTTTTTGTAGGTCGTGTAACTTCACTTGCTTGCTCAGGTTTATCGTGTACTTCAGCACATGTCTGATCAGGTCCCAGGTTGTGGTCAAATAAGCAAAACTGTAGTTTTACCAGTCTCAATATTTATCATTGTGTTATTTAAATTCCAGAGCTTCTGGTTTCCAGTTTTCAGAGTTAAGTTTATAAAACCTCCCTGTTTAATGGTACTTCATGGAAAATTAAGTTTGGTGGCTGTTCATGCCAGAAGGAAAGGTCACAAACAATATTTTTCAATGAATTGATTACAGACCTATAGACTCCTTTAGAAAGAGGACCTGTAGTTTGCTTCTTAGCTTCAATTATGGCCTAGCTGAGGGAAAAGGAAAGTAGAGCTTCTGACTTCACACTAAGTGGTTCTAAGATGCAATGTTTGACACCTGCTTTTCGCTTTGTTTGCATATTCAAGGTGCAAACTGGTGGCAGCCCAGATCCTAGGAGTACCTTGAGTCCAAGGCAGAAGAAAAAGCTTATGTAATCTGTCTTGCAGGTGTGCCCTGTTTGGAATTTCACCGTTTGCACATGTGAAGGACATCACAGCATTTGGCCCTCTGAGAAAAAGCTACTTTCTTCAGCATTACCTTGAGGAGTATTCCTAAAAAAGGGTAATGGAATAAAATAACAGCCTGAGAGGGAGAAAGAATAAAGAAGGTACTCAAAGACAATGGTGACAAAAGAAGTCAAACATCAATCAAGCTTTAAATACTGATAAAGAAAAGAAGTTTAATGTACCATCAAAGAAAAACAATTGTGCTGTTAAATGAAAGAGCGTCAAAGAAAGAAAGGAGAGATTAATCCAGAGGAAGAAAGAAACCATCACAGCAAGGAGGGAAAACCTAGAACAAAAGGTAAGGGATGAGAAGTTTTTTTGTCTTGCTCAAATGTGAGTGTGGCATCTGGGAATAACAAATATTTTGCTTTGAAATTTACATTTAAATGAAATCTTAATCACAGTAGCAGGAAAATTAAAGCATATGTGGGTAGGGGAAAAAAGGAGCCTAAACCACAGAAGGAAAAAGGAAAACGTCAGGAAGAGAGACAGGGTGGGATGCTAGCGAACACCAAGGACAGTGGATGTGAGTGGGCATAAAGAAGCTACAGAAGTGTGTCATATGCTAGAAACATGGAAAATGAGATGGCAGAGAGCAGGGGATTGGAGGGTAGTGGCTGAACTACAAGGGGGACAGAGGAAAATCTGTGTCGCCGGAAATCTAGCAGGGTAGGAAACTGACACATGATGACTACGGGAAGGGGTTTGCCGTAGAAAACACAAAACATCTTCCATTGCACATCTGAGTGACATAACCCCATGTTAAAATAGAGGTATAAAATCCAAACAGAGAAGTTAAATGGGCTAGTGTCTGTAAAGCAATATGTTTATTCTTATTGATAAAGATACTTCTCTGATACTTTCAAACTCGCTTATATTGAAGTCCTTTTTGTCTCTCAACCATTTAATGCCTTCCCCAAAGAAAACAAGTCTGAAAGCCTTCCTAAGCAGCAGAACATTCTCCTTCATCTGATACTGAACAGCTACTCACTCAACTCACCTACTGCAGGCAGGGATTTGGATTTTTGTTCCCATATTTGTTAGAATGCAAGCAGTGAGTAAAGAAAGGAACTGATCAGCCAAGTTTGGGGTTTTGGTTTTCTTTTTTAATGTGTCATGTTTACAACATGCAGTGTGTGCTGCCAGGCAGTATCAAGAGGATTACTCAAGCAGTTTGTGTATAGATAAAAATATTCCCTTGCTTTTGTTAGGAGAAAAATATACAAATGCACCTTCATTCTCTGAGCCATAAACCAGCCTTTAATTGCCTTGCTTAAGAAATAAACTCATTCAGTCTGTAACTTGTTATGATACCATTTACTTGTACATTGTGCTGAAGTGTCAGAGGTGGACTAATGGATTAAATAGTTGGAATGCCTGATTTTACCATGCCCTCGTAAAAAGGGTACAAGAAGGTAGTTTTAGCCACTCCTGTTTGCCTTTGTTTTCAATACTTGCAGTGTGTTTTAAGCCTCTGTAACAAATGACCTACTTTGTTCTTTGCTTATGAATGCACCCCTCTACCTCTACACACAGTCTTGCCCCTATTTCCAGTAGGCATGCTTTTGTGTGGTTTGCATCCTTCCTCTGTTGATTCTACTGAAAGCAAAAATCAGTGTCCCTACTGAAGAAAGAGCCCCCTCAGAGAGCAAACAGAATTTATGGGGGGCTGTAGGAAAGTGGTCACCTACATCACAGCTGTAATGCATTTTGCAGACTTGGCTCGCTGTGTAAAATAAAGGGGCTGACCTGCCTTTTTCTCCTACCTCCCTGGGACCTTCATCCTTCAGAGCTGAGAAGTCCTCTGCTGTGAAGGGTGGAACAGTGCACAGAGAAGCTGTATTTGTACAACACCCGCCGCTTCATACGTGCATTCACATGAAACTTCATTTGCTTCCTTCTTCCTCTCCAGTATCCGAAGGGGGCCTATAAAGATGCTGGGGGGGGACTATTCATTAGGGACTGTAGTGACAGGACAAGGGGTAACGGGTTCAAACTTCAAGAGGGGAAGTTTAGATTGGATATAAGGAGGAAATTCTTTCCTGTGAGGGTGGTGAGGCACTGGAATGGGTTGCCCAGGGAGGTTGTGAATGCTCCATCCCTGGCAGTGTTCAAGGCCAGGTTGGACAAAGCCTTGGGTGCCATGGTTTAGTGTGAGGTGTCCCTGCCCATGGCAGGGGGGTTGGAACTGGATGATCTTAAGGTCCTTTCCAACCCTAACTATTCTATGATTCTCTCATCAGTTTTCTGTTTCAGTTTACACATTTGCATGGCTTCCCAGAATATCTTGAACTTCTCAGCAAAAAAGAAGCCGAATAAAGCTCTGAAAGTAAATACTGGCTCTGCAAAATGCAATGTAGCCTTTGTAAGCTTGGGTCAAAACGTTTGGGTCAAGAAAAAGAACATTTATCTCATTATTTGTGTTGGCCACTGACTGAAGGGGCTTGGGCTGTTCAGACCTTCACTGTTTGCTCTGGCTCTGACTCCCTCCACTTCATCAGAGTTACCTTCTGTGGGGGTGCTTTAACTTACCTGACAAGTTTATGTGTTGCTTTTGGCTTCCCTTCCATGTATGCATCTGTTAGTGAAGGATGGTGTGGTGGGACGTGCCGTAAATTGCATTAATTGTAAAGCAGAACAATGCTCTGGGGAATCCTGAGACCCGATGGAGGTGAGGATCACCAGGGGAGGTTGCCGTGTGCCTCAGATCATGGGCGGAAGTGGTAGTGGAAGAAGGAAGCTGGGAGTGCTAGTCTGAGGCAGAGATTGAACTTCAGCTGAGTTACAAGGCCTAGTGCATCCTTGCCTGCTTCCAGTCCAGCCTGCTTCATGCTAGATGACAGTGGGCTTCGTTGGGCAACTGCTGTGCTTCCATTTTCTGTGCGCTCTCACCACCAGCATTACTGCGGTTCCAGGCTTTCCTCCAGCCTTGGCTCCAGCAGAGCTGGGTTACTCATACTCCTGCTCTAGCTGCATAAAAGAAAAGAGAAGGATTTTGTATCTGAATTTCTTCAAACTATTGTCTGTCCCAAGTCAGTCCTACTCTATTTTTTCTCTCTTCTGTCGGTACCAAGTTTAAGAAGGGACAAACTTTCCTTGCAAGCTGAAAATGAGCGTGATCATAGAGGGAAACTTTGTAAATGTCAGAGCTTGCTTTGCTTTGGACAGTTCTAGAAGGAGGCTAGTTTGTCCAGCAGAACGGTTGGAGCAGAAAAACTGTGCCCTGGGTGAGCCTTTGATTTTCTGACTGTAAAGGGATGTGGTACAATTCAGTCTGATGCTGTCATTATCTGCTTTTCACCTCCAGCTCTAAACCAAAGGGACCTTAGGTGAAGGAAAGATGAGTTCAGCCTTCCTGCCCTCCAAGTGTTGAGACATCTTACCAGGCTGAGGGCATCCATGTGGACAGATTTTTCCCCTCATGACTAGACTGAGACCAGCAGCTCTCATAAACTACCCAAAAGCAGTGTTTTGTTTTGTTTTGTTCTGTTTGGTTTTGTTTTCCTCTTTTCTTTCTTTAATCACTGATACTGTGGCTCACAGTTGGAGCTAGCAGAGTTCCCTCTTCTCCTCCTCCCGGATCATGCAAAGCCTGTATTTGTTTCTAAACCTGTGTGACTGCTCCCAGCAGGAGAGTTTTAGGTAAGCAATAGGTGAGGTGGTGTCAGATGAGCAAGAAAGCTGAATCAGAGCATAGAGCTCATCCATAGCCTGACCACGGTGACAAGCTAATAAGAGGCTGTCGAGGAGTGTCTGTGTTTGCCACAGATCTGCAGGCCCACTCTTCTGTCCCCCTGACTCACGCAAAGAATAGCCTGGCACTGTGCTTGTTCTCTGGGAGATGGATATTCCCACTTAGGAGACCAGGAAAAAATGTTGTGTGTTTTAATACTATAGCTATTGGAACTGGGATATGAATAATCTGCCCACCCTGGCAAGGAAGTGGTGTTTATGTGTTTTCATCTCAGATGTATGAGAGGTCACTGGCAAAAGGTATGCAGGAAGTGGAAGCTGTGCAAAGACCAGCCTGTTCCCAGATGCTTTAAGAATCAGTGTTATAGCTCTGCGCTCCTGCAGAGAGAAGGCAGGGTGGAAAGCATAGAACAATAAAATCCCTGAAGGTTGTGAGGGGTTTCTAGTGACCGTCTCAGGCTAGTTTCAAGGATGATGCTTGAATTGGGCTCCTGTGACCTGAGGAGTCATCTGGTGTAAAGCAGGGAAAAGGATTTAATTACAGAGAACAGATAATCTTTGTTCTAATGCCTTTAATGCTATCACTTTCTCTGCAGCTGCTTTACACATAATAACAGCTTAGTTTTCATTACTGATGTATATATTTTTCTAACAGCAGCATCCTCTTGTCACTGCATAGGCAGCACTAGTTTCATTCATTTAAAATCATCAGTTCTCTATGGCTACAGGGTATTACATCATATGTCATTCCATATAATAATCTTCTAGGAATATATATTTTTCACCTTTATTATTGAGATTACTTCAGTCAGCAAGTGCTCATGGAACAGAATTGCAAATGATGCATGCAGAAAGTTAGCAACAAGCTGTATTTCTTCTGTTGGTGTGCTATACTGACCCTTAGGAACAAGACTTAATGCATACTATAATTTTAGGTGTCTTTGGGGGAATGTGTAACTACTAAAGGAAAAAGCAGACAACAGTGTTTCCTTCAAAGAGCAAAAATCATGCAATTACTCATTCATGTTCAGTGTTGTGTCTTACATCAGGAACTGAGTGCTTCAGTGTACTGGTGTTGGACAGCAGAGCACTTTTCCATCATGGGTACTGGGTTTGTTTCATTTCCACTGAGGTCAGATGGTCATTGCATGAGTTTCAGCTTTGCTTGAAGAGGGTTTCTGACTGAAGGCCAGAACTGTTCTTGACAATGTGAGTCATGTGGTAGTGTCAGATGGGAGTTATGATTTGTGACAGCGTTTCTATACCTGAAAAAAGTACAAGGAAGAGTCATAGTAAAAATATGATTTTTGTGGTAAACCTAATTTTGGCTGGCACAGTTTAGACGTTAAGCTGTATCAATGCTAACAATGCTACCAGACTCTCACGCTATAGGCCATGTTGGCTTCAGTGACATTTTACTTACAGGTGGACAAAGGGCTGACTGTTGAAGGCAGTTAACTTTGCTGCCCAGTAGGTATGCCCTTGAGATTGGGATGATGTACAGAGCTCAGTGTGTTATCCACAGTGCACCTCTGCATGGCTAAACAGAGGAATTTCATCTCCCCACCTGTCACCAGTCTGTCATGAAAGCTGAATTTCCTTTGA